GTCGTCATCCCAGGAGCCCAGCCACCGTGGTTCTACTAGCAATGTTCAGGTCCAGCGCGTGCGCGGTGCTCACCGCCTCAGCGGCAGCAGCAGTGCTGTCATCGGCCAGTCCGATGTTCGCGGTGTCTCGGCGAGTTCGTCCATCGCTTAAGGATGCAGCTGGGAGGTTTTAGGTGCCATGCTCTAGTTGGTCATGGTAGTTCCTGCTTCTCAAGTTGTAATGGCAAGATAGGTTGCTGTGTTCAGACTAGTGTTTAAGCATTTGAATTATTTGCTTAGTTTGATGATATACATTGTTCAGATGTAATCAGGCAGTGACATTGGCAATGTATACTCTTTCGTTCACCTGTTAATCCGTAGCGTTCGGCTAATATTCAGTGCACATTGCTTCCAATAGTTATTATGTTATACTTTTCTTTATGGGCGCGACAATTTTTGTTTTGTAATTGGATTTGTCTCTGTCACTATCAAATTATCAATATACTTATACCCTGATTTCCTAAGTTCATATAAGCACCCGTTTAGTAAGAGAGGTAACTTGTCAATTTTTACCAAGTTGCTTTCATAGCTCAGTTGGTTAGAGCTCCCGCAAACACCAGTTTAGTAAGTGAGAGGTAACCTATTAATTCTTAAATAGTTGATTTCATGGTGGTTAGAGCACCCGTTTAGTAAGTGGGAGGTCTTGAGTTCAACTCTCAATGAAAGCACTTTTTTATAAAATTTATTTTTACATTGCATTTTACTTTATTTTTAAATGACTGAACTCTCATTTTTTTCGAATTTTATTTTTGCATTGCATTTTACCTCATTTTCAAACGACTGAACTCTCTCATATTTTTTTGAAGCTCTTTTTTTAAGATCTAACTCATTTCTTAACTCAAACACTTTTTTTGACCGAGCTCTTTTCTAACTTTTTTAACAACCTAGCTCTTTTCTTACTTTTTTAATAACCGAACTCTCCTGTTTCGAAGCTCTTGCTAATTTGTATTGCGATTTTTCTTACCTCTTGTTTTACTCCCTTTATCCATAAATAAATTAATTAGTTTAAAGTCAAACATTTTTATGTTTATTAATTAAATTTATAAAAATACAAATATTTATGGCCCCGGAAAGATGGAGTAAACTGCTATCTTTTCAACCTCCCGTTAATTTTCACTGCAAATTTTACTACTTTTTCTGTAACGACTAAACTCTCTTCTTTTCAAGCTCCTGTTAAAGTTTTTTTTTTTGCCGTGGGCTTAACATTACAGCCCATCATTAATGAAAACCCATCAAAAAAAATATTGTTAACAAAGTTAAGGCCCTATTTGGATTACAGCTGCTAAATTTAGTCACTCCTAAATGATTTAGTCCCATTTAGGTCCTGTTTGGTTCCTAGCTCCTAAATCTAGGCAGTTAATTGCCTCTTAAATTTTAGTGAGGCCATGTTTGGTTAGGTGACTAAACCTGACATGTACATGTTTATAAAGACCAAAACATCCCTCATTAATGCTAACTTGGTGCCCCTGGCATTTGGCGCCAACGGTGTCGTCGTCTTGGCTCTCATCTAGCGCTTGCCTCCTCCCAGCGTCTTGACCTTGGCGCCAAATGCACGCTCTGGTTTGTTATTCTCGCTTGGTCGCTCTGCTTTTACCACGCCAAATACCGCTTGTAGGTCTGCTTGACTGCTATGGTAGCTGTTTGCCGCAATGTACATTCTCACAAATAATGTTCAAATGGTTTAAAAAAACTTCATTATTACAAACCATAGCGCTGCTATGACCTTGCAAACAAACCATTCGCTATCCAATCATGAAATTGATTCATGTTTTCATCTCCGTCTCTAAAACGTGTGGTGCCTCTAGTTGCTTGAGTTGAAGTTCCTTCCTCTATTGGTATATAGTTTTCATCTTGATCACACAAGTCAAAGAGATCATCCATCATACCACTCTGTCTAATGAAATTATGCAGTGCCATGCATGCCATTATTATTTTGCTTTGCTTTGACATGGAAAAACTAGGCAAATCCAACAAAATTCTCCACTTCATCTTTAGGACTCCAAAAGACCTCTATATAACATTTCTAAGTGAAGAATGTGTGTAATTGAACAGCTCTTTTTTACCTCTAGGTGTAGGCCCTTCTCTCCATTCGGGGACATGGTATTTTGTATCTCTGTACGGTGCAAGAAAACCCGGTTGATTTGGGTACCCAGAGTCAACAAGATAAAATTTGTCTACACAACACAATACTTGTGTAAGTAACATGACAAATACTATGACAAAGACAATGAAGAAATGTAAAAACCCATACATACCTAGAGGTGGATGTGGAAACTTGTCACCAAATTTCTCAAGTGCATCATTGAACACCCTCATATCATGAACTGATCCTGGCCATCCAACTAGAATAAAAGTAAATCTCATATCAAAATCGCATACAACTAACACATTATGCGTGGTGATTCCTTTCCTTCCTATGTACTGGACTACCTTCTCAATTGGCACAGTGACAGATGTACATGTGTCCCATCTATAGCTCCAATGCATTTATTAAAGTACGGAGCAAACCGAGGAGATTGTAACCATTTATGAATAGTTGAAAATTGTGGATCCTTTGGCCTAATGATATCAATTGCTAGCTTCATCACACTAGACAGTACCTTATCAAACTTGTTGCTACATGTCCCTAGTGACCTCTCAAATCTATTATCAGCTTGTCTCATGGACTGAGGGACACCACACATCCACAAAACACATTGCTAGAGCCTCTATAGAAGTCATTTTTGTAGTGGACTGTAGACCATATCTCTCAACTAGCAAAGTGTGAAGGCTATAAAAAATATCGCCGTGCATCCTAAACATGTTATAGCATTGTGTCCTTTGTCCTAGGGTTCTCATAGTCCACTGATATCCAGTTTCAAGTGGGACTCTATAACCAGCCTTGTTCATAAACTTGCCCTCTTGCAACTGTTTGTGATACTTGGTGAACTGGTCTGTAAGCCACAGTCGTTTAGAGTAGCAACACCATCTTCATCATCCTCATCTATCCATGTGTCTTGGTCATGGCATGACAGCCCAGGGATAATGGCAGTTGTGCCATCAACAGCAGTGTTCTGGAAAAGCACAACCATCTAAGGAAAGAATCTAGGCAACCCATACATGAATTTTCTACACTCTAGCTTCTTCTAAAAAATCACAAGAATCCACTGTTAGCACAAACCAACATAAAAGTAGAACAAGTAAACAAATTATTAGGCACAAAGATTACCCTGGTATGCCTATCCCACCAAGATAGAGGTGTATCTGTCCCTCCATTTTCTTGGCGGCCAACACCTGTTTGTAGTTGTGCTGACTTATAGAAATGTACATTGTTTTGAGTTGGCTGAATCTATTCTTCATACATTTAAGATCATGCTTTAGGCCAATCTGTTGCTCATAGAACTCTATCAAATTATTATAACCTCTCCTTGTCATTGTCCCCTTACTTGTATTGCCCTTTCTCATTTCATCAACAACAAGACAAGAGAACACAAATGTATTTGCATCGGATCAATTTGTCTTTTCAAACTAGTAGAGAAGCATATCAGAGAACAAGAGGCAAAAATTGAAATAGACAGATATAGATCAAACAAATACACAGTACTACATGAAACATGTACACACTTCAATAACAAACAACTAAACAGTAGTAGTTCATACAAACTTGTAGATCAAACAAATACAACCTAACACACACCTGTAGATCAAACAGATTAGATAAATAAACACTTGTACATCGAACAAATAAAATCTAACACATCAGATCAATGAAAAGTATGAGAATCTAACCAAAAAACAGACATGCAAAACCATAAATAAGACATGCATAACATAAATAATAACACAGAGCAAAGTACGAATCGGATCAGAGAACAAGCTCACCTCGGGCGGGATGTCGTCGTCATCTTCTAGCTCCATTCCTTCAGTTGGAGGATACGAGCTGCCCGAAGCAACTGTTCCACGCATCCTAGCTGCCGGGGCGCGGGCGTGGCCACCGCCGATTCCCACCCTGGAGCGGCGCACAGTAGCGCGAGAAGCCGGGCGTTTTCCAGATCCGGTCGCTCCTGCGGTCGGCCGAGGAGGAACGAACCCCCCAACACCGGATCTAGCGCCAATGCGAAGAGGAAGAAGCCCTCTACCGCCGGGAGCGAAGTCACCTTGGAGGAGCCCCTGGTAAGAGCCCATGTAGGGGAAGTCGGCAGCGTCGGTGTTCAGATCCAGCCCCTCCATGCCGCGTCGAGCGGAGGAGCCCGCACCATACGATGGCGCTTGGGAGAAGACGCCGAAGTCGCCGACGATGGGGGGGAGTGACGGACCGGAGCCATTCAGATCCACCGGAAGAAGAGGACTACGAGTAATAGTCCGGATACTCGGACCCGTGGCCGTCCATGGCGGAAGCGGTGAGCGAAGGAGCTGCTACGCCGGCGGAGGGGTTGGGAGGAGCGGCAGTGGCGCGGAGCAAAGTGGTGGCGGCGACGGGGAAAGCAGAGGAGAGCGAACGCGAGAGGAGAGAGTGAGCTGTGAGTGAGGGGGTACCGGTGCGCTCGGACAGGGCGCATTGATGAAGGAGAAGCCCTGTCAAAACGTGTTTTAGAGCTGCTAGTAAGGTTTGTGTGACTAGCTGACTAAAGACTGTTTAGTCTCTTTTAATAAAGGTGTTTAGTAAAAAAGTTACTAAAAGAGACTAAAAGCTACTAAATTTATAAGGTGCTAGGTGAACCAAACACCTCTTAGTCATATAAGAGTTGCTAGAGATGACTAAAATTATTTTAATTCTATTTAGTTATAGTGTTTTGATAAAAATGACTAAATATGACTAAATAAAACTAGATTAGAGCTACTGCCTGAACGAAACAACCCCTATGCCTCTTCGCCTCTTCGGGCGCCAAGCCTTTCCAAACCCGCGGCGCGCAACTGGAAGGCGAAGAAGGCAAAGGCAAAGGCAGAACCGCAGAAGCCGCCGCCGTCGCGGAGCGCAAGCCATGAAGTTCAAGGCTTTCTTCACCGACGATGGCATCTCCCTCCTCGACAAGCGTAAGCGTGATATCGCACAATCACTGCTCCCCTCTCGCTCTTCCCCTCCTTTTCTCTCCCGCAATTCATCGAGCACGCCTCATTCGTCCCCACGATTTTGCCGTGCAGGATTCCTACCGGCCATGGACAAGGTGGGGCGCGTCTGCCACTTTTTCTTCACGCCCACGCACGCCATGCTCCTCCACAACCTGCTCGGCGCCACGGCCGCCGGGCCCGACGGCGGCGGCCCGCAGTGCGTCGCGCAGTTCGCCAAGGACCTCCTCTTCCGTGAGTACAACGTGTCCTCGCGAAACGGGAACCAAATCGCCTTCTCCGTCGAAGTCGCGCTGCTTCACCGCGCGCTCCGCAGCGTGCTCGCCGTCCACGCGCAGCCGCCGGCCGCCGGGGACGCCCCCGGTGCCCCGGCTATACAGGTGAAGCTCGTCAACAAGCTGCCCGTAGGGTCACGAACCGCCACGCCATTCCTCACTTTCGAAACCAAGGGCGCCCGCGCGGCCGTCGTGCAGGATGTGCCCATCTCGCGCCCTCTCTCACGCTCCGACATCGAGCGGTTGCAGGCCGCCCTTGACGCTGCCAAGGATCTCCCTCAGGTTTGTAGCCTTCATGTATCATCTTATGGTTCCTAATCATTTGTCGCACAAAAAAAAAAATGGTCCTGTGGTTCAGGTTCACCAGATCAATTCGGATTCAAATTTACAGCGGTTGAACCTAATGGAAGTGTTTTTGGATTATTTGTTGTTGGATGGGTAAACTAATACTATGATTCTGTTCGTATTCACATTCTAGTTGAAAAGCTGGTTCATGAAGTGAATGATATTTTGGATTCAACTCTGAACACATTTGTCCTGGTCAAATGGTGAACTGCATATTTGTTACTAGTAAAGATATTTTAATTCTTATAGAATGGTGTTTGATCCAGGCATTTATGTTAAGAAAATTGTAAAAATGCCCTTGGCTGCAATACTGGACAAGAGCAATCCATAGCCATAGTAACATTTTTTTTTTAAAAAAAAATTGTAACAGAATTACCAATATTGAAATACCAAATGCGTATTTTGAATACTTTATAAACTACAGCTGTAGTTTAAATGTTTTTTTTTTCTGCTGAAATTGACTTGCACTCTCTAATAGTAGTACATGGTTGATAAATAGTTTAAACTATCAAACTATACCTTCCTTTGGGAAATGTGCTTGCAATCTTAAGGGGTCTGTATCTTTTTAATGTTATTTAGCCAAAGGCCCATAGCGCTGCATTATCACTTAGAGTGACCTTTTTGCTTAGTTGACAGTAGCACTAATGAGTGGGGAACTGCTGACACATGGTTGGCATCCTTTGTGCAGACTCTGGTCCAGGTTCCTGATCTGCCACAACTGCAAAGCTTAGTGGATCGTTTGAAAAATGTTGGTGATCTGCTAACAGTGGCTGTCACCCAATATAGTGATCTCCATCTACAAGTTTCTACTTCTCTTGTTACCGTTGGCTCTGAATTTCGGAAGCTCCGGGTTATTGGTGATCGTGGTAAGATATGGCACTAGGTAGTTTAAATCAGCACTAATTTCCTATCCTGGCCTCTTGTTTAATTCAGCTGACTACATATTGCTCTATATTCAGCAAATGCACCTGTTGGCGACCAAAATCTGACTTCTTCGTATGGATATGGCGGTTGAGAGAGGGGAAGCACTTTCAGTGGTATTGTTCCCAAGCGCCACTTATTTTACTCTTCCACTCCTCTTTCGGTGCCATTTAGTTCACTGATTTCTTTTTCTTTCTTTCTTCTCACAGCAAGTGAATATGAAGCACCTTGTTAAGAGTCTACACTGTCATTTGGCCAAGCCAGACTGTACCTTCTATGGTTTGTTTACAGCTATAGTCTCAAAGATATTTTTTGATCAACAGACTTTTTGACTTAACATTGTTCTTACTGTTTGTATAGGTATTGCTCCTGGTGGTGCTTGTTTAACAGTCGTATTCCAGTATTTCATCCCAGGAACTAGATTGGCAGATAAGTCCATTAGCTTCTACTGCAGGCTTCCAGTCCTCGACCCTGGATCCAGTTAAATAATTTACCAGGCATAACTAGATTTATGTATCAACAAAGAATATTAGGTAAGAGTAGCAAGACTATTAGCTTAGCTGCTGCATATTTTCCTTCTTGTCTATTGTCTACCTTAGGGACTTGGGCTACAATATATTGGCTTCACAGTTAGTGTGATATGCTGCTTTATGTGAAATGCTGATATGACATGTTCGCTTCGCTGAAAAAACAAGCCGAAACACTATTCCGGCTGATTTGTTGTGAGAGAAAAACACTGTTCCGGCTGAAAAAACAAGCTGAAAAGTACGGATTATAAGACAAGCGAACAGGGCCGTTGGACAGCTTATATGTAAGGCATACTAGAGAAGCATATTAGAATTGTGACTGCCATTACTATCAGGACAGCTTATATGTAAGGCATACAAGTTTGAATCGTTTTATGCTATATATGGGATTATGTCTTGTGAGTTCTTCCTGTTTCAAAGCCCCCTTTGTTTGCTGCTGTTGGCTTCAACTCCCTGTGCTATCCTCCAGCATTCTGAAGAGTACTATAAGCATAAGGAAGCACTAGAGTATAATATGCCTGTTTAGCTTGAGCCTGCCAGAATACTAACAATAGATGAATGTTTGTCTGTTTACAAAATAGATTTGGACAATTGGATGTCCAAACTTGATAGATGGTTTTTTCCTGGGTAGCACTATATATGTTAATGGCTCCAAAATCTGAAAACATTTGCGTGCTGTAAAATATTAATGTAGCCAGTATTTCCTTTTGTGATTGGTAATGTTTAAAACAAGGTTATGGGAGGATATCAAAATTAGTCTCTCCCCTGAAAATTACTTTAATTATTGTTTATGATCTGCTATCAACATACTGACACACTGAATGGCTCCTTCAGGGAGGTGAGATTAATTTACAATTTAGGTGAAATTTACGATCATTCTGATGCTCAATTTAGTTTTGAGCTGACAACAGTGTGATCCTTTTTTTTTTTAAAGCAGAAAATCTAAAACAGAAAACAGGTTCCCAAAAAATGGATCCAACGTTGATGCTCGGAATCTTTCTTGGAAGATCTCTGTAGACTGTAGAGCCCATGCGCTCAACTGTGTCCTCTGCCCACATACCACATGGTATCCCATATCCGTACTGTGCTTCTCATCTGAATCTGATGCTGTCTACAGTCCCCTTCTGCATCTACGGCCATGGCATTCAGGGCCCAAACAAAGACTATCTGACCGACGCGTCTATTTCCACACCATACCCTTAGGTTCTTCTCTGCTCACTCACTGTCGTTCTCGCTTACCGAAAAATAACTTTAAATAATTTTATATAAAAAAATTAATATTTATAATATATAATTAATATCCTTACATCATTGAATATATTTTCATAATAAATTTAGTTAAACTTATGGCATGGAAATCCAAAACGACGGTTCATTTGTGACAGGGGAGTACTCATCATTTCCAAAGGTGTAACGACAAATTTTGCATGGTGGACACGAAGACAAGAAAAATAGGGAGAAGTGGTATAGGCTTCAAATCCATGTCCTTGGCCTGGCATAAGGGGGGACCATCACCAGCCTTCCTATACAACTTTACTACGTCCTTTTTTCGTACAACCTTTACTGTTACTGGCGTTCTTGATCTGGCTTGGAAACGTAGACTCGCTCGTGCTGCTGCTCGTTGCACCGATTATACTGGTTGATCATTACAGACACGACCTGAATGAATCCATGTGAAATGTTTGATACTTGGCAATCTACCTAGTCACAAGCAGTACGGCATGGATAGTTTTGCTGAAATTTGGCTGACGCTACTGCTTATGCTGATTTGTTGTGAGAGGAAAATATTGTTCTTTCGCTGAAAAATGTTGCTGAAGAGCTGTTCGTTTCGCTGAAAACACTGTTCTGATGCTGCTGTTTATACTAGTATAATGTCTATGCTAACGCAACGGTTTTATCTAGAGAATGATCATAAAAACATCCAATTTGTTATTTTGTAGTTTAACTTTTACCTAATTATTATATTTTAGCCTAAGTTACATTTGGCGTAAGTCCTTTATCATTTGTTGCACATCTTCAAGGATGTTAAAACATTCGTTTGCAGGACTCGTCAAAGGTCCAGTTTAGTTTGCAAAAAAATTTGTAAAATTTTTCACATTTCCCGTCACATCGAATCTTTGGACGCATGCATGAAGCATTAAATATAAATAAAAAATAAAACTAATTACACAGTTTAGACGAAATCCACGAGACGAATCTTTTAAGCCTAATTAGACTATGATTGGACACTATTTACCAAATAACAACGAAAACGCTACCGTACTCATTTTGCAAAATTTTTTGCATCTAAACAGGCCCAAAATGTCAGCCAAGAATTCCTTCCTCAGTGTAGATGATAGCTGCGCATGGTATAGAATATAATATGTTAGTATTGTATGTAGTGTACGAAATATAGTTGGAGACTATATATGCTTACAGTGATGATCCATGGCAATCTTATGCCGTCCCACGACTTTATGAAATTATAGACAAGAAAGCCTCCTAATTTCCTGACGGAGAAGATCAGTTGTTTATTTGATGTACATAAATCAAATTACTGCTTTTATAGAAAAGTTGAACCAAATTTTGCGACACTTAGCAGTATTTATGACCCGAAACCTTTGTTACATATTTAGGGTATTTTCGCTCCCAGTAATAAATATTTTCGCTCCACCTAGAATTTGATAGTGCCATGGCGAGATTGAACATTTTAGCATTAGTGTGGAATGTAGGTATATATGCCATTTCTTGATGATAACCCTTCAAACATACCTTCCCTCATGTCTTATATATATATTTTTCTTCCAATCTGTCATAGCTGTTTCTTTCTTGTCCGCCACACCTTGCGACCACTGATCCACCGGTAGTGTTCTGGGAACTCCCTATATAATAATGTCCTTGCGAAACTATCAACACGATTCATGGTGAAGTACAGCAATACAATCAGACGCAGGACGTAGGTATTACGCCCTCACGGCGGCCGAACCTAGATAAAACCTCGTGTCTGTCTTGCGTCACCATCTCGTTCGTAGCTTGCGCACCTGTCTGCCGATAATCTACTACCTTGGGCATACCCCTAGGTAGACTGCCGACCATATTTTGTCGACAGTGGCGCGTCAAGTAGGGGGTGTGCGTACTGCTCCCAGACGAACAAGATGGTCATCATCCTCGGCTCCATGGCTACGTGGAACGGCCTCACGTTCACCATCGGCCAGATCACCTAGACCACTGGCTCCGACAACTTCATCGCCATGATCACGAAGGAGGCGCAGATCCAATCTGCGTCGACCACTGCTTCACCAGCATCGGCTACGGCTCCGACCACGTTGGATCTGGCTCCGGCCACACCAGCATCGTCTTCAGCCATGCCGACAACCCGTCGTTCGCTTCCTCGCTACAAAGGGAGGCAGATCGACAACATCGACCTGCTCGACTCCATCGATCAGGTCGGCACCAAGCTTGCTGAAACCCTAGCTCTGGTAGATTCGATTCAAAATCAACCTACCGAGCAGGTAACCACTCTCCACGACAGATCTACCCGACCAGCTCGGGCCAGTCGTCCTGCACGACTCGGTACGGATCTCGTGATCACGTCTACTCCTGAAGGGCGCTCCGTTCGTCGCCGACCAGCCCCCGCAACGGGTCTCCGGCTCTCCGAGTGCGAAGCCTTAATGGAGAATTACCAGGCTCAGCCCTACGGCTTGCGAAACACTGCTTCCAACTACGCGTACAATATACAACGCTGCTCAGATCTGTGTTTTATACATCGACCTCGGCCAAAGCCACGCAACTTCATCAACATGATTCGGATTGAGGAGTATCAAGAAGTAACGGTGCACTAAGACAAGCAGCAACCCTAACATCTATGACTTATCACAAGAGTCGATCGGATCGATCTTGATCCGGCCCGGTGGCGTAGATGGTCCTGTTTCGACTCAAGCGTCTGGTTTTTTTGGTCTCCACGCAGCATCCACATGGAGCTACGACACCAGATTTGCATGATGGCTTGCCATTACATGCACGATGAAGATCACGCCAAGCAGCCATGCAAGAAGACGTAGTACAAGCAAGTGGGCCAACTATGGGTGTTCGTGTTATGTATGTATTCATACACAATGTACAGCGACAACCTGGAAGGACTCTGTGTGCTTCTCCGACTCCAAATATGAAGACCACATACAATGTACTAAATCGCCATCAGGCTACTCCGTAACCTTCACGCAAGCAAGGAAGATCTCCGACTGCGCCCGACCTCGGCTGGACATGTCCGAGGGCTTTTGCCTCCCCATGCGATGGAGCTAGATACATGCCCTCCGACCACCGAACTTATCGAGCAGCCACGTCAACCATGGACCACGTCGACCACGTCCCGAGCGGCTCCGCCGAGCTCCGACCACGTCGACCACGGACCACGTCGACCACGTCTCAAGCGGCCCCGCCGAGCTCCGACCACATCGACCACGGACCACGTCCCGAGCGGCTCCGCCGAGCTCCGACCACCTCAACCACCTCAACCACCAGACCACGTCACAATGATGATTGCCACGAAGAACGGCGCTATGACAACCGCGACCACCGTAGTAGGCCGAAAAGCACGAGGACCGGACAACTTTATCGCCATCGACCAGATTTCTATCCAAAGATAAGTACACTTCTAATATTTATATTTAATATAATTTTCATTACGACGCGTTTCTCCACAACGTCCTTGTCATGATACCCCTAGGTCCGGGCCGGCCCAAACCTAGCCGTAAGGGTATAGAGGTTAATACCCCGACAGTTAGTCTCCGAGCACCATGTATTATGTTGCGACACGCCGTTTGATCTTCTTCGGCTAATGCAGTTTGTCCTCATATCATCTCCAACTGGTTGAAACATTGACCAAGCAAATGTGCCAGTATTCTGGTCAGCACAGAGAGCAGTAGACCACGATTATAGCCGAAGATTCCGGTTGTCCGAAGAATGCATGGTGCTCTAAA